TCTAGCTGTTCATCTTTCCCGAGCAGAGGTTAAAGTCTGAAATGTGTGTGTCTCTTCTCTTCTGACATTCAATCACAGGGAGTAATCAGCAAAATGGTAGAATAAGTAGTAGGTAAATAATCCAGATAAAAGAACTGCACACATGTTCTGAAGAGCTGTTCAATAGCAAATAACTTCCTGCTTGGTTGGGCTGGAATACTGCTCTCAAAAATATGAGACCATTTCTGAACGCTAGGCTATGCAGAAAGCTCAGTTCACAGCATGGGGAAGGAAGTATTTGAGAACAGATAGTATGATTTTGGTGTTCATAGCATGACTACCCTCATTGTTAGATTGTGGGCCCCAGAAGTCTTCCGTAGTGCAGTCAAGACTAAATCTGCATGGATGAAATGTAATTTGAAAGCTACTGACTAACCTCCATTTGAGATGTTCCTAATAAACATGCTATAACCTAGCAAAGATGTATAAATAGAACCTACTTTTTGAGACTATATTTATATAAAATATATAATTTTAAAGAAATAATATGTGATTTCTATATAGATATATAAATAATATATTGTGTATATAAAATTTATTTTAAATTTGATAAAGTAAAGTAGACTTGCTGAAAGGAAATTTTGGTGTTAACTTGCCATATTGTTGTTTGTCTGTTGTAGGCAGCAGCAGGCATACTGTGCTATGTGGGAGCCTACGTGTTCATCACATATGATGACTACGATCACTTCTTTGAAGATGTCTACACACTAATTCCAGCAGTTATCATCATAGCTGTGGGAACACTTCTTTTTATCATTGGACTTATTGGGTGCTGTGCCACAATTCGAGAAAGTCGCTGTGGGCTTGCTACGGTAAGTTGCAGAGTTCTTCTGCGGTGTAAGCCTGTGGTATATTTGGCTGCCTTCCCTTCTCATAGACTTGTAAAATACTTTTAAAGTTTGTTCTAATCTTATTTTATGGCCTTAAATGATTTCCCCTTATTTTGTTACGAACATCTTATTTCAATTTTCTTTTCTGAGTAACGCTGCTTAATTAGTTCTGGCAACAGCAGGCTCCTTCAGCTTTACCTTGTAGAACTGTGATCATTTTATTAAAAAAATGTAAAACCATACTGTTAAGTCATAACAGTTTTTTAAATCTCACTTTTATCTGTTCTGGTTGAAATTGGACAGAGAAAGGTGAGCCAAGAGCCTTCTTGTTTTAATTATCTTGCATCAAGGTTAACTGAGGGTTGTTGTGATGCCTCAATATTTTTCTGTATGGCTTAATTTGGACAACTTGTTTTCACTGTTTTGCCATGTGTTTCCAAGCATTTTAGCCATAATTTCAGATAGAGAATTCGCTAAGAGAGAAGAGAACAGGATTTAAACTGTTGTCCCTGTGTGTCCCCCCTGCCCCCGCTCTCCTCCCTCCCGGGGGTTTTTTGTTAGATACGGTGTAGAACATTTTATTTTTAAAGTGCTCTTAAATATACCAAGACAAATGCTTAATCTGAAGAAACACTCCCTTAGTTCACCTCCCACTCTTAGTAACAGCCTGGGTAGCTTCTTCGTTGTGACATTCCTATTTATCTAATGGAAAGAAGATTGAAAGAAAAACTTGATTAAAGGGCTCCATTATGTTTTGTTTTTTTTTTTTCAGTCTAATGCTTGGCACTTACCTGGCTGGGCAGCTGTTTATTACTTGGTAAAGCTAAGAACACTAAAGTTTCTTGAATGAAGCTAATTCTGAGCTCATGTGGTCAATTTAATTGCCTATTTTATCTGCTAAATCAAAACCTTACCTGAACAAGTACTTTAAATAGCAAATCTATATGGAGGCTTTCAGAAAGTAAATGAGTAAAACGGTTTGCACAAACACTCTTGATTGTATTTTACAGTTTGTGATCATCCTGCTCTTGGTTTTTATCACTGAAGTGGTGGTGGTGGTTCTTGGATACATCTACAGAGCCAAGGTAGTAACTTCTCAAACTCAGTAAATATTTTGTTGTGAACTGTCACCCAAATACAGAGGGTCTTTACTGTATTTGATTCTGTAGAACTGTTAATAGGTATTTGTTGAGGGAATAAAACCAAACCTCCAATTGGGTTAATTTGAGGTATCAATAGCTTAATTTAGAACATCAATTTTCTTCAAAGCAAGGCAGAGAGTTTTCTCAGAAGGAAGAGAAACTAAGTAGAATATATAATTGACATTTGTACAGTAGAAGGGAGCCATGGTAATAAGTACCTTTCCCTTTTCCAAACAGTCTTCTAATTTATTGATGCTGTGACTTTGTGAATGATTTAAGTTGCACAATGTTTGAATGTAGGGCATATTGTTGTGATATGCAGCAACTAAAATGTAATCTTGTGTTTTGGTATACAAACTAACACTGCATAATAATAAAATCAAAGGGATTGGATGGGTTAATTTATACTGTCTAGCTTTATGCAGGTTGTTAACCAGGATTATGGCTAAAGAATTGTGATTTCTCCCATTGTGTAACTGAATTTAAGAACCAGGACCATAAAAATGAAATCAGTTGTTTCTACCAATGTAATATGTGGCAGAAATACACCACATGGTATTAAAGATACCTCAGTGTAGCTTGAAGAAATTACATTTCTAATTTGCACTGTTTCACTGGCTTTTGTTATGTCTACATCTAAAATTTGCCAAAAAACTAGTAGAAAAGGCATTTTTAGCCGTGACATGTAGCACTGTTGCATTATAGGACACTCCAGTGATACCTTGAATAGCAAGCTAAACTACAATGCTATTTACCTTTCTTTGTCCTTCTGTATTTACTGTATAAACAACCCAGGTCTTACTAATTCAGTACTCTCTCCCGCTATCCTGGAAGAAATGGCAAGACAACCATTAAAGTCATAACCTAGAGTTTTTGCTTGGTTTACAAAGGAGGGTCGTCTTGATTAAGCAGCTGAGAAGACCTTGAACTACGCATTGGAAATCCAGCTTAATGACAGTTAGAGTAGGTTGCTTCAACAGAAATGCTATATGGGCGTTGATTAAATTCCAGATATGTGTTTTTCTCATGGTCTGCATTTGATGTTTTGCATGCACTGAGAAGGTCGTTTGGGACTCTGATGCTTGTAGTGGAAGTAGTCCTTAGAAGCAGCTGAGGAGAGTGGTACAATTCCTGGAGAATGGGAAACGTGTTGAGTCCTTACATGTTAACTGGGATGGTTGCCTTCTGCTCCAGCACTTGCAGAAGTGTATTACAATGTAGTTACTCAGCGGTTATGTGGCTCTGACGGGGACTAAGCAGTGGTCATCTTAGTCTGTATTGCAGTCTTAAAGTGGCTTGCTCTTTTCCAGTTAACAGCATCCAGAGCAGAGTAAAGCAGACGCATAGATCTTTCTTCCCTAGCCCATCTGAAATTACACACTTGAAACACTGGAAACTTGGACTGATCCCAGCTGCATGTTCCTGTTGCCTCTCATTCTTGTCTTGCTATGTACGGTTTCACAGCTGTAGGTAATGTGGGGCTAGAGCTTGAGTGAAGAGGGTAGGTGGTTCCTTCTTGGTGGCAGCGTGGTCTTAGATTAAGCCATTGGTCAGAGTCACTACTTGAAAACTAAATCTTTCATCTTTTGAAAGGATGGACAGGCTTTGTTAGTAAAAATTAGTTTTCTTCTACTCTGCAGTACTTACTGTCATAACTACGGGCTTCAAGTGCAACAGGAGTGTTAGAAATAGCTTAATTTCTTTTAAAAAAGCTTTAAACTTTTAAAAAGTACATGAATCATGTTAGAATTACTATAATGTTAACTGTACACACAAAACTTTACAAACACAAGGGAAGTTTGAAGTCATAACAGTTGTTCATCAGAACTGTTGGTAGCAAGGAAGACCAAGTATGATGTTGTCTCAAAGTGCCATTGTGCCCTTCATGCTACAGTGACTAATCTTAGTTGTTAAATTTTCCAACATGCCTCTGTAAAACTATGTGTACGGATCGAGTTCAGATCCCTACTCCTTCAGAGAGCTGAGAGAGACATGTGGGTCATGCTGTGATAGACTGACCTGCTGCAGAATCTGCTAGTAGTGGTACTTGTCAGTGGAAGTGAGGATTTTTGTAAATGGCAATAGAGATTAAACAGGCCACCGGTTGATGGCTTAATGGCTCTCTTCCCCTGGGTGGAGTAGTTCACCCTTTTCTCATAAAACTTGCTGGTTAGCTAGAGCTAGCAACATGTGTTTGCGTTGTGTGTAATTTGCATGGTTTTCAGGCATAATGTTGTCCTAAGTGAACCACAACCCAAATGATGTACAGGCAAGCACTGAAATAAATTCAAAACCTGTGTTGAACAGCTGTTCTGTTATATGAATCGGAGCTGTAGATCACATTAGATTAAAATCAAACATTTGAAAATTAAACTAGTCTGAAATGGGTTGCCTGTGAAGGCTGAATTGACTTCTCTTCGTGTCTGTTTTGATACAGATTTACTTCTAAAGATAATCTTCATTCTTGGGGTGAGTGGAGGAAGGGGAATGGTGCTTGTGCTATCACTGCAAAAAATCCTTCTCTTAAAGCACTTAAGGGAATGTGTTGGTAGGACCTTCCTACTGTAACTTTTGAATCTAAGAAATGTGTATGCTTGGTTGATGCTCAGCCCTGATCTTATGTTCTGTGCATGTGATTCCTGTTGAATGTGACAGGAAAAAATGAATTCAGAGCTTATCGTTCTATCGTACAAACGTTTAGCTACACCCAACTTCCTGTGCATTTAAGTAATGCTTTAGAGTGGAACATGTTGCTTAAAAGGTTCTAGTAAGATTTCCTCCAAAATGGGCATTACAAGATGCCTTTCAGGGGACCAGTGATGGTCCTTGGGTGGCTTCCATTTCTAACACATGTACTTGTCAGCATCTTTAGCAGCTTGACTCATCCGCAGGAGCTTTAGGAGCTATTCCAGTAGCTGTTGCTATGTACAGTGTACTACCATCAATGTTTCTCAGAAAGCATGGTAAGACAGGGAGTGCACAGAGAGCTTGATCACTGTAGGGTGGGTATGTCAACCAAAAGACCTCACCTTTGAGGGTTTACCTGGGCTTCAATCAAAATGTGGAGAGCAGGTTGTATGACTTGCATCCTTGTGGTCCCAAACAGAACGAGTTAGCCCAGGTAGTTATATTAGTTTGGGTTTGGAACTCTGAAGGAGTGGGAGGAAGTGGAAAGGTGAATGCATGCTCTTACAGAGCTCTTAACTTCATGGGATATCTACCACAGCGTTGTAGTAAAAGTAGTTTCCTTTCTGGGATACATTGCAAAGCTGCATTGTCTAAAATCTCATGGAAGATAGCTGCTCAGTTTTTTTTCTTGTCCATTAGCTGCAAGGTAGCAATATCTTTGCAAAAGTCAAGTTAGAATTTTAAGAAGCTCTACTATGAAAGTATGCTAATTTCAGATGATGGGGAGTTAACTTGGTATTCTGAATTACTATAACTGGAAGTGAAATTATTGTACCTATTGTACCCACAGTACTTGTTCTGGCACGCTAATGCCAGTGCTTTCTTAACACTTCACAGGTGGAGGATGAAGTTGATCACAGCATTCGAAAAGTATACAATGGATACAACGGGACAAATCCTGATGCAGCCAGTCGTGCTATTGACTATGTACAGAGGCAGGTGAGACAGTCCTTTCTGGCTGTAAAACACAGACACTCTGTTGCTCTGCTGCTTGTGTAGCCTATCCTTTTCCATTTGGACAAGTCTAGAAAACACTGATTGGTCAATAAATAGCCTAACATGGTTAAAATTAGTGGAATTATGGCATTGTTAATGTGGAGATGTATTTTGTGTAAATGGCTACCTACGAATCACTGTCTGGACTGAAATATTTAGTACTTCTGAATTTTTTTTAGCAATGGAACATTGCAGAATGTTCTCATGTCTCCATAGGTTTATCTAGAACATGCTGAGGGGGAAAATGGTGTTCTTGATTCTAGTTGAAAGCTAGTGCTGCCAGCTTCTGGATTTGAGGCTAAAAACCAATCACACATGGAAAATTCAGGACCCTTTAAGTTTTACAATCGTGTAAACTTAGTCATCTAATATTTGCAAGTGTCAAATGCATTTAAATCAGTCGTACTACTAATTATCTTGCTGAAGTCCCTCCTGTAAGGGAAAAGGGACAAGAAGCTGGTAAACTGACAGTTAGAGCAGTATCGCTGTTTGAGGCTGTACTGTACACAAGAGAACTCCAAGGACTGCAGTAGAGCATGCAGTAGAGTACAGTTCTGTCAGTGGAACAGAACTGTATTTCATTTTGTTTCATTTCTGAAGGATTTCTACATGGTCACACAGATGTGACTATACAAAATTAATTCTGTACCGCAGTTCTGTGAGAAAAGCAAATGCTGGTTCATGTCAGAACTGTCCAGAAAGCAAAGAGTTTTTTTCCCAAGCATCTGTTGTAAGCTTTAAGGATAGAGCTGTTCTAAGCCAAAAATAAAGCTTTTGTCTTGTCAGAGAGGCATGAGGGAAAAGTGGGCTGTCAAATGTTCCCCAAGAACTGGAGTTTCAAGTCTGTATTTTGTGATGAGTATCTTAAATGATGTAAGGCTATAGGCCCCTTTACAATAAGCTTAGTCTATGATTTGCTTAAGTAACTGTCAAATAGTTGGTGCTAACTCAGGTAACAAAGGTAGCCTCATCTTAGCATGCCTGTGTTCTCGTATTGCAATTAGAATTACAATCTCATCTGATTTCTTGGCACATTGACTCTTTACCTGCATGTTTTTTCAGCTGCGTTGCTGTGGGATCCATAACTATTCAGACTGGGAGAATACTGTCTGGTTCAAACAAACCAAAAATAACAGCGTGCCACTTAGCTGTTGCAAAGCAGCCCTCAGCAACTGTACTGGCAGTTTGACCCACCCAATGGACCTTTATTCTGAGGTAAGACAGACAGAGTAGGAACTTATGTAGCCATGTGCTTTTGCTGACAGTAATCTATTTTTCTTTTTAGTGGGAGCATGCGGTCTTGGATGTATTTGCTTTTACAGGAAATAAACATGATCTCGGGGTGGGGGAAGGGGGAGGAATCTCTCCCCTTTTTTCACCTGTGATATACTAATTAATTACTTTTTTAGTGTTTTGAGTTATCTCTCCGCTCTGTTCGATGCTTTTAGTGTGCTTTTTGGTGCACCTAAATGTGGATATATAACTGGTTGCCAGATAGACATAAGAAGTCTCCTTGTTTCAGGGGTGTGAGGCTCTGGTTGTAAAGAAGCTTCAAGAGATCATGATGTATGTCATCTGGGCAGCACTAGCATTTGCTGCTATTCAGGTAAGAGAATATTCTTTAGCAGTGAAATTTTTCTCAAATTCAAAAATTTGAAACTGCTCTTCCAGTTATTACAGGTATGCACAGGATGATGACAGGTTCTAAACACTTCAACACAGAATTTTGCAACCATGCATGGTCTAAAAACTACTGCTATGTAGAAGTATAATCTATCAGATTTGAAGATAGCTGAACATCCAATGTTAAATGCGGTAATTGACAAGAATGTAAATAGTAAATTATTTTTTAAACTAATTGTCTAAGTATTAAATGTCATGAATGTGCTCTGATGGCACTTTACATCTGAAGAATTTGCACAGTATTTAATTTCCAACTTTAAAACAGCTCATACCTCATGCTATTTTAAAGGTGTATATATAGCTTATATAAAGCTTGACTATGCTCCATGACATACAAATAATGTCAAGACCACCTAGGAGATATACCAGGGGTTTTAATAGCATATTCTGCTCTTGTTCAACTGAGCTTTTCATTATCTTGAGGGTTTCTTGCTTTCTGGACTTTAAACAAAAGATTCTAAATTGGAGACCATGCCTACTTAAAATTGAGTATGGTCTGTCTCCCACATGAGCCTTAATTGTTACAGTTATCCTGGATACTAAAACTGAGGAAATAGACTAATGTCTATCTCGGTATTTATTTAGATTTTTTTTTAGGAAGACTAAGACTGTCTTTTAAATGTATTTGGAAAACTGGCATTTTGAATGCTCATCAGCTCGGCAGGCTTAGTACGTTAATCACGTTACTTTCAGACTGTGCCAATGTTATGGCTTCTGAGAAATCTAGTACGTACACTGGATCTCAAGAGGTTTGAAAACTAATTTCGAAGTTACTTTTGTGCCCTTAATAGCAATTGAATTCAAAAAACATTGTAGCTATTGACTCAGGCAATTCAGGATCTTTTTGTTTTCAAAAGCAGCTTGTGAGACAGATTGTATGAAGGTAAGTAATCTTTTGCAAACCCTCACGTGAAAATATGGTTGAATTTCTATTTCAATCCTACAAGGATGTACTTACAGTTAACACTGTATACAGTAATATTGTTGAACTGTCCAGAACCAGATTACTTCAGCTGTGCAACTTCAAACTTGGTGATATCTGTGCTCAGTTTTCTGAAGGAAGGTATTTTCTTTTAATTGCCATTCTTAAAACTTTAAAGCAATATTCAGTCTGCTTGAACACTGAAATATATTTGTGTACTGCAAATAAAGGTATTTACCACAATCATGACTCCTGTGGCAGACTTCTTGTGTAGGAAAAAACTATGTTATGAGGCTGGGTGAGCTGAATCCCCAGCAGGGGCATTGTTGCCAGCTTTGGAGCTTGCAGGTTGATTAACAGGTCCACCCCAAAATGCAGCCCAGTTACATTCTTCTCTGGGCTTGAGCCAGAATTTCTGACACATGCTTGCAATGGAAATGTGGCTACTTGCATCCTTCTTTAGTCTTGGCTCAGCAATTCCTGGCAGGCATGTTAATTGTATCCCTTCTGCAGTGAGTGCTCTTTGATTTTTCTCCACATGTCAGTAATCAAGCTATTGGCAAAATGCATGTATTGTATAAACAGTTTGTCAAGAGAGAATATCGGAGAAATTTCTTTGATAATGCTGCATTGTAGCATTTTGAAATCTCTTTGCTTAAAGTTAAAACACACTGTGATACCTGTTTAGAAAATTAATAAAGATAAATGTTGAATACAGGATGTCGGGAATACCCTTGAAATTTTTGTCTACTAATATTCACTGAGTGCTAATCACATTTAAGTCTATTGGAGGTCATATTTTTGTATCTTTTCTGCACAGTTCCAATGGTTGTAAATTGAAAAGACAGCAGTTTCACTCAAGTTGATCAAAACAGTATTCAGACTGTTTGGTTACTTCTGCAGCTTAAAAGGGTGTTACAACTTATGTCTCACTTGTAATACAGAAGTTAAGGATGTACTTAGCCTGATTCTCTGCAAAATAGACTGTGGGCTAATTGAAATGGAGACAAGAATGTAAATTTCAGTAAATGACCTGTAACCTATGTCATGTACTTTAATCTTAGAGGAGTAAAAAAACTTTTTGATAAAGTTTAGTACCTTTTCTATACTCGCTGCATAGAGTCCACTCTGAACTGATTGTTATTTTGTGTGTTAGGCAGTAAGGCTTTCCAGAGTTCATTCCCTCTAATAGCTTACATTCAGCAAATATGGCCTTCAGTTCTTTAAAATGAAAAGACTGAGGAGAATTTTTGCAAGGCTTGGAATTGGCAGAAAGCTTGATTTTATGCATAGAACTAATTTTTGGTATGTTCGTGTTTCAGTTACCATGGGAATCTTCCAGTGTGTGATAATTCCCTGGTGTCAACAGTGACAGCACAGAGCTGTTAATAAATAGGAGCTAAACTGAAGAGAGCAGAGGCATTGCAATGCAGAAGTGCTGCTTGATTAGCCACAGAGGTCAATCTTAAAGATAGCTTTTGTAGTTCATGATCACTTACAGGGTGTACTGAGCTTGGCATATATAGAGAGTCAGTAAGGTTTTTGTACAAAAAAAAAAAAGAGAAGTTAAAAAAGCTAAACAGGTTCAGTGAAAGCAAATTGTGTATAGTTATTGCTAGCAGGCAAATTACAAACCAAAACAAACTGAACAACAACATAAAAACAACACAGAACAAACCACCTGATTGTGGCATTTGTCTAAACTTTACTAAAAGTTAGAGGGGGATGCATCAGTCCTTCCTCAACACTAACTTAAAATATTTGTTTACAATATTAAGTAGCAACTGAAGTGAAACAGAATCAGATGCCTTAGAAAAGTTTGAGTGCTAGCACGTTTTAAAAAAAATACATACTACGTTTCTGTAGAGAAGCTTGAAATACAGGGATTACTTCTGTGTTTACAGTGAATTCAAGGAATATGCTCACTGGCCTCCTGAAGGATATAAATGGTTTAATTAACTCAGAAGTTGCTTATACAAGTTCTTATTGCAGTGCCCGATTGTTTCAGATTTTACACAACCCTGTGTACATTGAATGTTGAGCGAGTCATTGACCAGGTTTACCTCTGTGCGAATGACTGTAAATGTGTTGGAACTATCTTTACTTATTTGGAATACACAGCTAGAATGAATTATAGCAAATGACAAAAGGAGGTATTTTTCTGGGACGTACTCTTCATTTTATTCTTGTCTTGAACATGAAAAAAACATGTTTCTGTACTTCAGAGGCTGTGAGCTTTCTTCAGAATTCTCTAGCCACTACCATAAGCTCTTCATCTCACAAGTCTAGTTTAAGGGTTTTTTTAGTTGTGGATATTATCTCCTCTCGTAGACAGGCTCTGTCCAGGAAGAGTCATTATCTCATGTAACTGTTTTTCTCTTGCTCTGACATTAATCTAACATTTGGGAGTCAGACTGAACTGGAACCACCCAAGTAGCGATGGAAATTGAAGAAAGAAAATTTATTTTTACCAGCAGGCTGAAGTGTCGTATTCTAGGTTACACTCTATATGCCTTTTTTGAACCTGAGCTGGTTTCTGCTATAGATCCAAAGCTGATAATGAACTCCAGGCAAAGGATATTATTAGTCTTTCAAGCTTGTTCCTTTCCAGGAAATTAAAAGCTCGTATGAGAATTGCCTCATGCCTCTTGTTAATCATCGTATATTCAGGCTTAGGATTTCTGCAGCATTTTCTCTTCAGTCTTTCCACAGACTTGAGTGCTCTGTTGCATGTTCTGTCATTTAGTTTTAAAACTAATGCAATGTTTTCATCAGTATTAAAAAAAAAAAAGAAGAGTAACTGTCCTTTTGTCACAGTAGTGTGTTTTCACTGATTTTTTTCTGTATCGATGAAGATGTTTTACACTTGGTTTCTGATCACCCATTTCAGTCTTGTTTGCTTTCTTTTCAAAGGTTTTTTTTTCAAGATGGGTTGTGGGTTTTTTTAAATTTACCTTCTGAATGATACTTCATAATCCAGAGTTATGACAGGAGCATCATGAATTATTTGCATCTGAACAAGCTTCTATGTATATGACCAAATCCATACTATCTCTTATTGTATTAGAAGCTGCTGCCAATTACTGCAGACCACAGAACACTACTATACCTGATTTTTTTTTTTTTAACTAGGTACAGTCTTATCCTACCTGCAGTAAACATGCAACTTCTGTAAAATATCATGCCCTACATCCCTGAGGATGCTCCTCTGATCTAAGTCTTGTAAATATAGTGTGATCAAACCTTGTATTGCTGGCAAATCTGCCAGCACAGTCATGGTACTGTCAACTTTGACAGCAGGAAAATTGTCTAAAAGTGAATAATTCACATGGGACTTAAGCTTTCTAATATGACATGGTAACAGTCTTTCAAATGCCCAACAGTGAAATAGGTTTTGCTCTTTTTTCATCATCACAATTAGAGGCTAATGCAATTGAATTTAGATTTTTCATACCTGATAAGTTGTACAGATTTAGGTACTGTTAGTAAAATTAGTAGTTTCTTCTATCTGAATTGAGGCAGAATACAAGTGGCTGACCAAAAACTTTTGTTAAAGATGTCCAAGACAGTCTTGCAGGAAAACAAGGCCTTGCTTTTTGCAGCAAGAAGTGAAGCTTTTTTGGGAACCATGTGCTTGCTGCCATTTACCTTATGGGCAATGACAGTCTTGTGAAGCACGCTGACAGTTCCTGTGCTGAGGTTAAATCTCTTGAAGTACCTTCTGTGTACTGATCCTGTTCTGTTTTTTCTCCATAGCTTCTGGGCATGTTGTGTGCCTGTATAGTACTATGTAGGAGGAGTCGGGATCCTGCCTACGAACTTCTCATCACTGGCGGAACATATGCCTAGAAGAGAACGTGAACACGCAGTTCAATTCAATCTTATCTCTTAGGTGGAAGGTGAATGGGCCAGGTCTCCTGCAATAGCTTTCTCGCCCTGAGCTTAGTCAAAGCACACCTTTCACAGATGAGGACAGCCGTACTGTACACTGGTGATGGGCAAAACAACTCAGCTTTACACACACCCATATAATTCCTGTGACTTTCACTGTCTTAGCCAGCTATTCATGTATCTAAATGTTTTAGTATACTAGTAAACTTTCTAATTTCAGAACCATTTGCAAGTAAAGTGTTATTTGGTTGATATGAAAGTCAAAGGATGTGTGCATACTTTGGTAGATTACCTCTAAGCATTAACTGGCTGATTCTTGCATATGTAGAGAGGATCTTAAACCTTCACTACACAGAACTCTTTTGGCCAAAGCTGTACAAAGGAAGCCAGCTGTATCTAATTTGTGAAAAATATTTTATTCTTGCCCCTCACCAGTGTCGCTTTTTAAAAACACTTGAGTGAAGTCCAGTACTCTTTATATATAAAAATTGTAAAATGAAAAAAAAATAAACAAAATTTTAGGGTTACATGACTGCAGTTTTGACCTTCAGAGATGAAGTCTTGCAAGCATTAATGGTTTAAAATACAAGCTGGCTTTTCAGGAGTATAATGTATGCACTACTGTTCTATAATGAAATATTTCATTTTTC